CCGCCTTCAATTTTAGAACATTTTCTTTCTCCGTACTCATTGTGTAATCCCCCCACCCCCACCCCCCGGCCCCAATTTTGGCAAAAATATACACAATGAAACATTCTCCAATTCAACAGCTTCTGTATGTATAACCCAGTTCCATTGATTATGCGCTTCATGCTATACAACCATTATTGACACTCCTGCCTCCTTCACCCATGGTAACCATATGTCAAGTTTGGTTTCTTCCTTTGGTTTAGTAATTTTCTTGATATAATATTCACATAGCATACACTTCTATAGTTAAATAGCTTTTTAAGAGTTGTATAAGCATCATCACAATCAGTTCTGATGCTCCCTCCCCACTCCTACATCCATTGATTGCTCCCCAATTCTCCTCCCTCCCCTCCCCCTATAAAGCATTGCATCAGTTATTGTCTCTATGTACCCACTCCTTCTATGCTTTCTAAATTGTGAAAGCTAACAGTAACAATAAAAAACAAAAGTGAAATGAAATAGAAAGCAGAAAATAATCATATAAACATAAAAATAAAAATGAAGGGTAAGAAAGAAATACCACTAACAATATTTTCAAAGCCAGAGAAGAAATTTCTGTCTTGGAACAAGCCAGAAATATTTGAGCCTAGAGCAAATTCCAATTGGGTCAAGAGGTAGGTCAAGTGACCAAGTATCATATTAGACTATGGTTCCACCCACCATCATCAAGTTTATAATAATCTCTACCAGTAAAGTTATTTGAATCTCTTGCCTATGGCCTGTCGGGATCTGCCAGAGGCTTAAATCTGACTAGACACTTTGCAGATAGATTTTGTGCTCCCATTGTTCTCCAGAGCCTTCTGCAAATTGGATGTTCACGATTTAAGCTCTGATACTTTTCCCGTTATCATATTTGGATTTTGTTACCAACATCTTTGGATCACAGAGGCTGGTGTGCTCCTTCCCTGTGGACTTAGTTGACACCCCACTTAGGTGGCTGCTTGTTTGAACACAAGTCATTAAGACCCCAGACATTATTCCAAGTGATAGCAGTACACCATCTGCTTTCTTCACCACACTTTGCAGTAGCACCTTGTCTTTATTAGGAGAAGGCAGGTGATCGCGGACCATCCAACTCGGAGCAGAGCACAGCCTGCAGGTTCCAGAGTGAGACAGGAAAGCACACTGGAGAAGGCCAGGGGAAGTTTGGGGACTGGACAATAATGCCAGCCTCTGGGAAGAGTCAACTTCTCAAAGAAACCCAGGGTTCGTGGCTAGAGGACCTTTGGTAAACTATGGTTCACAGACAATCTCCATGTGGTGTGTTCTTTTCCTTGTTATCTTCTTTCTTTAGGCCTGATTTTAGTACCTTGGTTACAGAGGACCTTATTGTTGTTACTGGAGTGATTTTTTTTACAGAGCAGAGGAAAATGAAATGAATCAGGAATCAGGAAGGAGGGAAGGGAACAGTGTGTGTGCTTGATGGATTCAGACAAAGGGTCTAGTCACATACCTGTAACTTACTAAGAATATATGACCTTGGGGAGATACTTAAGTGCTATGCCCCTTACATTCCCCATCTGGAAAATTGGTTTGATAAACCCTGCCTGGTAGCACTGTTGAGATGTGCACTGTGTATTGTAAAGTGTCTGGCCTATAGTGTATCTTTAGTCATTGGCAGGTATTTCTAATAAGCTTTTGATCCCATACCTCTCCTTCTCTGGGGACGGGTGGTGGTATCCAAGACATCTCATAGAATGTATAGCTGAATAGAACACAGAATCCCAAATCAGCCAAACATGATGCTGAGCAAATAGAACTCAGTAAAGTTTCCCTCATAGAGGGTCTCCCATTTAATTTGAATGTATATAGGGCACTGTCCCAGCTGAATATAACTCCAGGTTCCTGGAATGCGAGTCACAGATCAACTCCTCCCTTCACCACCACCCCCTCCATCCAACCCACTTTTCTCTCTCTCACACACACACCCCTCCTTCCTTCCCTCGCTGCCAACAATCTAGACTTTGCTTCATTTTGCCAAATCGCTCAGGATAGCCGAATTAAAATGTTCGTTTAAAGGCGTACGTTCTGCCTTTCCCATGAGAGAAGTGGGCCAGGCTAGCAGTTTGCAGGCACCACATCAAGGAAATAGGACCTTATTTCTCAGGAAAGCTGTGCAGATGGTGTGTGTTAAAAGCCCTAGCACAAGCACTATGTGCGGAGTGTCTTCCCATGACTGCCGACAAGCTGGATTAGCTTTCTTTTGTTTTATGCATAACCCAAAGTAACTGCTACGAATAGTTTTCCATTCCAGGCTTTTCTCTCACCTCACACACACACTAGCTGAATGTTTGGGTCTGGCCACCAGCACCTTAACTTCAAATTAACTCGTTAACAGGAGTGAGTTTCCCAAAGCCACAACCTGCCTTGGCTCGGGGCATTTACACCTGAGGTGGTGGACATGCTTACCCAGAGGCGCCTCTGAAGGCCTGGGAATCTCCTGAGAAGTCAGACATGAAATATTTTGCAATACATGGGGTCACCAGGAGTTAGAACTGAAGGAAAACAATTTGTTCGGCTCTCATATGGAGCCCCTACCTTCTCCTTCTGTCTGTTCTCTGCGTCTTTAGGTCATAGAAGCTATCACACCATTCTCTATATCCCGGCAATTGCTGCAGCTTGATTCTACCATTTTCATCAGGTTGGGTGTGTCTTACTTCTCTTAGGATCCCCGCTAACCAAAGCCAACACTAAAACCAAACCCTACTGTCCTTGAGTTGATTCCAACTCATAGTGACCCTATAGAACAGAATAGAATTTTCCATAGGAAATGTAAATGTTTCTAGGAATGTAAATGTTTATAGGTGCAGTCCGTCTCATCTTTCTCCTGTGGGAAAGCTGATGGATTTGAACCACCAGTCTTTGAGTCAGCAGTGCAATTCTTACCCCGTTGTGCCACAAGGGGCCCTACAACTAGCGCAGTGCTTTCCAGAGAGCCAATGTTCAATTAGTGCTTAAAGAATAAATGAACCTGTAGTCAAGAGCATTCGTTTATTAAGATTTGATTTCTCCAACATTCGTGAAGACAGGAAAATTCAAATATGTATCTTTAAATTTACAGAACAGACCCCCAAACCACCCCCAAATTCCAAAATTTATCTTTTACATTCTTTCTCTCTACTTGAAATGTTGAATTATTTTACATTTGAAAAGAAACCCTATTTCAGAATTTTATCATTTAGTTTCTAGGTGATAAAATCAAATGGAAGCATTCCCAATTTGATTTACAGTATTTTGGTAATGGGCTGAATAGTGTCCCTCCAAAAGTTAGACTGAAATCCTACCCCTGGTACCTGTAAAAAGAGCTCTTTGGAAGTAAGAGTTCCTTTTGTTATGTTGATGGTGAATTATGCCTTACGAAACAGACTACACAGATACACTGGGGAAGCCCAGGAAAACAGGAAAATATCTACAGGAAAGGATTCAGCCCTAAAGCCAATATTCTGATTTGGACTACCGGTCTCCTAAACTGAAAAATAATACATTTCTGTTCTTAATGCTGCATTCTTCTTACAGGAACACTAGCAAATGAAGGAAATCGAAAAAAACGTGTACTCTTAAGCTGCATTAGCAAAATTTATGTAACAAATGCCTTTCATAACCTTAGATTCTGAGCTAATGAAAATTCAAGAAACAACATCTGTCAATGGGAAACTGACAAGGGTGAACTTAACAGTTCACTCAATAGAGAATAAAGTGTTCTGTTGTGTTTTCAATAAATGGCGCTTGGATATTTGGATTTCCACATGCAGAGCAATTAACTGGAATCCAAGCCTCCCATCATGCACAAATAAAAAAATCAAAATAGTTCAAGGACCTAAAAGGGAAAACTATAGCCATCAAATTCTTAGAAGAAAATGGCAGTCTAATTTTTAATGATGGCAGACATTATAACAAAAGCATAAGCAGCAAAAAGATAAAATAAATGGGACCTTATAAACATTACGTTTTTGGTCCATGAACTTTTATCAAAAAAGGTAAGAGTCAACCTACAAATTTGGGAAAAAACAAGCAAACTAGGAAGTATATTTCTCATAACCCATTACTAACTTAAACCCTCTGTCACAAAGGCCACAACTCATGGCATCATAAATCAATGCTAACAACAAAAATATTCATGAAAAAATACGGGCAAAAAACTTGGGACAGTGCAACAACAGAGAAATTCAAATCACCAATAAGCACAAGAAAGGATGCTCAATGCCATTAGCTTGTAGGGAATTGCAAAACCACCGTGAAATTCTATGTCATTCCTACTCCAATGGCCATGACTAACAGATAGGAAGGACAATAGGGATTGGCAAGGTTGTGGAGGAAACCGTCATCCCTTACTGTTAGGGATGTAAAATGGGCCAGCCATTGTCGGAAACAATTTGGCAGTTCCTCAGAGTTGTCCAGGGAACTACCCTGTGACCCAACAACTCCGTTCCCACAGCAATAGCCAGATATAGCAAAGGCAGGCATGCAAACAAACCTCTCCAACCAACGCTTAAGCAGCACTTTTTACAACAGCTAACAAACAGGTGAAACCAGCGAAATACCCATGGCCAGGTGATTGGGCGAAGACGATGTGGTTTAGAGGCCCAATGAAATACTAAGCAGTAACGAAATGAAATCCTCACGTACTACATACACCACAGTGGGAAGACATACTTAGCAGTCAGTCAGGGGCAAAAGAACAAACACGGTATGATCTCAAGTTGGATGAAAAAACCAAACAGATAGCAACTGAAGATTATTAGTGGTACTAAGCACAGGAGAGAGGGAGAAAGGGGAAGAGTTAGCTTTCCAGGCAACGATTTTACGCTATGATGATAGTACAATGATCTGAAAATGGAGGGTGACAAGAGTTGCAGAAGATACAAGATGTTCTGTGTACCTCCAGCCCCACTCTAGTCCTCCACTACTCAAGACTACTGACTGCAGCCCTCTTGAAACAGTCAAGAAGTTGCCCTGAGTCTTTACTTGGGGGCAGGAGAGACTGCTGGCACAGGAATGGTAGCTGTATCTGTGGAAGCAATCCTAGCTTGAGCTCTCTCGCCCACCTCTCTCAAAGCCTCCTCATACCAGGGTGGGTAAGAACTGAGGTCATTCCCATTGACCATGGCGAAAAATTCTAAAACATTCATCCTATTGGTTTCCGCATGGGCTCTTGGACCCCACAGAAATTCATAGCGAACAGGATCACTCTCAGGCACCTGGCAATACTTCAGGTACTGATCCTGAACCCAATCTTTAGTGATGAGCTCCCTGCGCTTCCCGTCAAGGACACCCTCCTTCCCAGCATGCACACTCATTTTGTTAAGAAATTCCCAGATCACTTCCTCTGAGGCAGAGTTGCCCTCCAGGAGGATCACACCTAGAATAAGTATCAAGATGCCATTTTGGGGCATGACCTCATCATCAATCAGCACTCTATTATAGGTAAGGCCCAGTGAGTTTTCCAGGGCATAGGTGCCCAGGATAGAATCCACCTCTTTCAAATCAATGCCAAAAACCATCTTCAAGCTTTGAGAAGCCCTCTGAAAGACGACAGGGAACTGATTCTTAAAATCGCTGCTCACAACATCCAGCATTTCTAGTTTTGCCGTGAGCTGCCCCATTTGATACTTAAGGAGCAGGAAACGCACTATACCAGTCACCTCCTCTTCTGGGGGATCCCTAGGCAAGGACTGGATGCTTGCTGAGGTGCTTGGACTTCCCTCGTCTTCTGAGTCTCTGGAGTTCTCATCAGAGGTACTCAGGGTCATGATGGAGAAGACTGTCTCAGAACTCTGGGGAGGGCTCAGCTCTTCCTCTTTTGGGGGTGCCAGGTTCAAGGACTGGGTGCTTGCTGAAGTGCTTGGACTTCCCTCGTCTTCTGAGTCTCTGGAGTTCTCATCAGAGGTACTCAGGGTCATGATGGAGAAGACTGTCTCAGAACTGTGGGGAGGGCTCAGCTCTTCCTCCTCTTGGGGTACCAGGTTCACAGGAAATGAGGAGCAGGAGGAGGAGGAAAAGGAGAAGTAGGAAGAGGAGGAGGAGGAGGGGGGAGAGAAGGAG